CCACCTGACTTCTTCATGTTCATCATCATCAGTCACTACTATTAGTGTAGATGCTAATGTTGTTGCTGTGCACCTCTGTCTCTGTCTCTCTCTCTCTAAGTCAGGCAGTTTTTCCTTGCCCCCGTCGCCAAGTGCTTGCTCATGGTGGTACTGTTGGGTCTCTGTAAATAACGTTATAAGGAGTTCAGTCTAGACCTGCTCTATTTGAAAAGTGTACTGAGTTAACTTCTGTTATGAATTAGTGCTATACAAATAAAAATGAATTGACACAAAAGTAGCCCCAAATCCACAGTAACATAAAAGGTATTATATTATATGAACAGATGTAAGCTTTGATAAACTGACATAATAATAATTTGAACTGGGAAAAATGTTTAAGTGTCGTTGTAATAAAAGTTTATGTCATCTGGCCCTGTCAATCTTAACGATAGTTTGTCAATTTCTAACAGGAATACCTGATTTGTCAGAAAATTGTCAAATTTCTTGGTGGCAAAAGTGGTACGCACACAGCCTCATCAAAGCATTAATACGCATGCAATCACATAAAAAGCTGCTCAATTTGGCAGAAAACCACCTAGTCTGGATACACTGGCCTAGCTATTGAGTCATGAGTCATTTTCTTAACATTAACCATCACAACTACATGCTTTACACCTCGTCCTTTACGCCATCTTTAACCTGATTCTAGCTTTAACCTGATGCTTCCCCTTCAAACAGCCATTTGAAGAGGCGAGGATTAGCCAAAATGTCACCACTTCCCTGTCCTAAAGCTCAAATTGTTCCTCACAAACAGCTGTGCTTAAGCACACACGCACACGCACCCGCGCACACGCACACACACACACACACACACACACACACACACACACAGAAACATGGATGAAAGAGATGGCCTGCAGGCGGTTTTAAAAATATAGACTTCAGTTTATTGCACAATCGTTGCTGGAGACTGAGGAGGGTGAGAGCCTGTCTGTTACACAGGACGCTAATGTTGGACAGACGTGTGAACTACAGCACAGGAACAAACTGTGAGTCTGTGTTCGTGCACATGACTTTGCAAGCACACAGACTGGATAATGAGGCACTCTGGGGATGCCATCAGCACCCCGTCGGTGCAAAGGGAGAAAAGTAAATTTGACAACACACAGATTTCATGCTTGTATGGGTTCTGCAGGAGAGCTCATACACACATGTCACATGTACACAGAGTGGAAATAAATAAACATCCCTGGAGAAAAACTGCAAAAACCAGCGCTGACAGTATTACAACTTGTCAATTATTTTCATTTGCCTGCAGTATGGCTACAGTAATGCCTGCATCAGTGCACATGAACTTCCACTAGATGGAGCCACACTCACTCCTTTGTCGTTTGAAAATATGCTGTGACATTGCAGATATGATGAGACGATAACAGACAGACCCTCCAGAAAGCTCCCTTCATCCTAAAGGAAAGGGCTCGTCTCATTATCTGTACATATAGACCAGTGTCATTATTAGGATCCACAGAAACAGTAATCATAATAATCAGTATATAACAATACAGGTTATCCATTATAAACAGGTCATTAACAGGCTGTCCGGCACCTGTGTTATATTAAAAAAAACTGAATTATGTTAGTGATGTGATCGTACATCATGTCATTTTTTTTTTTTCACTTAACATACAGACAAAAAGGACAAAGACCAATATTTCTGGCCAGGTTCCACTCCTGTAACATGGTTTTCAGAGAGATACTCCCTTTCCACCTTCTTTCTCCCTTCTGTCCAATCTGTTACCCAGTTCATAGCATGAACAGACTGGACAAAGAGGCCAGGTGGAGGTAGATCATAGTCTCGCAGCCATGTTTCAGACAGCAGAGGTCAGGTCTCGGATGTTACAGCTACTGTTATGGCACCCTGAGAAGTGGGAGACCCAGGATGTTGGGAGCAAAAGCCCTCCGTTTATAGCAGATCAGAGTTTTACCAAACACAAATCGACTCGACTGTTATGTATCCTTCGGCTGATAATGCATAGATAGACCAGTGGTAGTCACGAGGTATTCACATGCCCGCCAAGATTCCCCACAATGGTCACAAATGTCTTTCCCCACATGTCTAAAACAGTGGTTACATTTAAATGATCAAAAGCATTCTTAGTTAGGGTCAGAAAAGGTCAAACAACTCTACATTAGCACTGAAACCAACTTCAGTATTTTTTTTTTTCCTGTGTTGTTCACATACATATGGACATAGCTAAGCAAACACACATCTTTGATATTAATCTGAAGCACCGCACCGAGCCACTTCCCCCTCTCATAACTCCCTTTGGCTGTGAAAGAGAGCAGCAGCTTATATGTGGCAGACCATCAACCTGTTTCTTCTTATTTTTCTTTCCTTAACATATTGTGTATGTATCAAAAATGAGTCAGGGTATATCGTTTGCACTGTATGTATATATAATCTACATACATGTATTTACATTATTTATATGGACTTTAAATATGTTTCAGAATAGTGATTTACTTTGATCCAAAGCCCTTTTGAGAACGATGAACAGTGCAGTTTATTTGATAGTGATGTATTGCCTCTGATCTGATCTGTTAAACCGTCCTCCTGTTGTGGTTATCCCCCCCACCCACCCAGCTCTCCTCCCACTAACCACACACATTTCCATCTTGGTGACATGGCCTGTGGATGGCTACGATGAACGATTAGCTAAAACTATGAGACTTCAGTTTCTGTTTTACTGCTACTTTCATGCACTTTTTTTCTAGTTTCATTCAGTGGCCAAAAATACATTAGTTTCAGCTTTTACATTGAACCACGGTCATAGTAATTAACGCACAGCATCTGACTCTTAATCAGGGCGAGGGGTCGGGTGCAGTCTGAGGCTAGTGTACGTGATAAAGACTGTGGGAAATCCTTCTTCACCCATGAGTCAGTGTTAGCACAGGAAGCAGAGGATGTGCTACACCTCAGACGCTGCTAATTTGGCAAGATGAAGAGGGGCTGACGGGATTGGCAACCAGTCAGTGGGCGGCCGAGACTGTTGGCTTGGGAAACAAGTGCAATGTCATTAAGAAAGTAAAGTCTGCCTCTGAAAAAATAAACCAGCCCCTAGAATCAGTCTAAACTATTCAGGTTTAAAAAGTGCAAGTCAAGCATTTAAATAAGAACGCATAAAGTGGCAATAACGTGCCCCAAAATGACTGACCCTTATAAACCATGAAAGTAAACATCCAAAATACATTAAAAAAAAAATTTCCCTCAAGCCCGAGACATAAATGTAAATAGGGCTTCACATGTTTTAAAAGTCACGTAATATTGTTGAGACTGTTACGTGAATTGCACTGCAGATAGGCTGACCTTTTTCTGCAATGTTACTGTGTGACTGAGAGGTCAGGAACCGTGTGTGGGGAGAAAATGAGGAGCTAATCCTCCGGATTTGCACGTTTTGACTAAAACAAAAGATTTGCTCTGACCTCTAACTTGATCTGTCAGCCAGTGATCCTGCACAGCAACAACATTAACTGTTCAGGCAGCTCACATAAACACAGTTTTACCTGTATCAGTAAATAAATACAACTAAACAAAAAGCATAATAAATATCATGTAGTTCATTACAGTATGTTGTGCATAGTGTGCCAGTACACAGGTTGGTTTTATCTGTAGTTTGTCTAAACAGGGTTACAGTGTGAAGATATCTAATTGTTTAGGAACTTACAGTTACAATCAAGTTACCATAAAGGTTGGCAATTGTAAATTGGTGACCTAACTGTGCATCTTGTTGCCCCATGTACATCAAAATCTACCTATGGCGGCATTTCAGTGTAAAACTTCAGTCATCGTTAACATTGCTATCATCAGAGTGCCTGTTATGTCTGTTCTGGTGTTTTTAAAAGCACATTAGAGAGCTTTTCAGCAGAACAATGTGCATAACAAAAGGTAAACTTAAGACAACACTTGGTTTACAACTTAAAAGTTATAAAACCTCATGTTCTATAAATTAAAATAGTGGTGACAATCTTCCTTACAATGGGAGGATGTCATAAATATACAAGAATAAATAACTGGGACATATATATGCAAACAGTTATGCCACTGAACAACACAAATAGTAAACGTGTGCACTTTCCTTTTCTGATTAAAAATGCCTGAATTTCATTGGCACTGAACACAGGTGCAAACAAAGCCGATAACACTGCGCAATCAGTTCTAATGCGCGGCCCAAGCCACCTAAAGCAAGAAAACTCACTGCCAACATGCTAGCACACTCAGGAATTAACCCCCTCACCCATTTTCATTTCCTCGTCATCTTCTGACTGTAAAGACAACTCAGACTGGCACAAACATAAACGAAGAGGCAGTGGCAGAGAACAAGAAAACACGGACAGAACAACCAGTCCAGTAAAACTCAGTCAGTGGGACGTAGTGAAAACTCTATGAGTGCTTTGTGCAGCACTTGTAGTATGTACATGTAGTATAAAAATATAGGTGTGAGGGTGTCTGAGTGTGTGTGTTGTTGGTGCAATGTGCATGAGCTGAGATATGGATGTGCTGCATAGGTAGCAACAGTGACATCTGAGAGGACTTGAGCATGTGATATCATTTAGCCACAGGACTGCCTTAACCAATCACATCAACTAATGCTCAAGTAAAACTTCTGTTGTAAGTAAAGGCCTTAAACTCAGTAACTTTTACACACGTTAGGCTTTACTTAAGACTTTATAGTGTTCAATACTCAGTCATTAAATCTACTGTTTGAAATATTTCCATTTTGCTGTGTGTGTGTGTGTGTGTGTGTGTGTGTGTGTGTCCGTGTTTGGCGGTAAGTGAGAGAGTCAAAATGCTTGTGCGTATTACTCAACATACTTTTGCCCGCATTCGCACAAAGTACCAAGATGGACGAAGATATGAACATTCTGAGTTTGAGCGCATGAGGTGAACACATGCACGGACAAAATACCGTCTCACCTCACAGCATCAGTTCCCTCCCCCACCCCTTCCCCATCCCTCTCCAGATACCCCCTCCCCCCCCGAGGTCCTTTATCCTTACATCCCAGTGTTCCTTGTGAGGGGGTGGGGGCTGCAGGAGGGGTCAGTCTGAGGGACAGTTGTAGCTGTTGATCCACAGCAGGTCATCCAGCACACCCCAGTGCAGGTAAAGGATGGAGCCCACCACCAGTACATGCATGATCTGGTGGCTGTTGCACCAGTAGTCAAAGAGGCCCGGGCGGAAGCGCTCTGGGATGCGTGCGATGTTGATGACCCCGCCAAGCACAGCCAGCGCGTCCATCGTGAGGAAGTGGCGTAGCGAGGTGGGACTGCCGCCGCCCACGCCCGCCCAGCGCAGCAGGAAGAAAGAAAAGCGGAACAGCGCCTGCCAGGCGAAGGATCGCAGGCGGCGAACGCTGCTCCGAGCTGTGACGGCGCAGTAGATAGCGTGGCTGGACAGCAGGATGTAGACTAACAGGGCCACAGTGCGGATGAACGGGTAGCACAGCAGTGTGCTGTAGACAATGGGCAGCGCCCCTGAAACAGGGAAACACACAAAGGAGAGTCAGCATAGAGATGGACCGCTGATGCTCAGCTCAGCAGCAATGCAACACCTGCAAGCCACAATGCTCAAAAGTGAACTTGTTTGAACCACGTGCGGTTAGCTGTATTCTGACCCGCTAATGTGCAGTCGTTGCCTGACTGGATAAGTGCAGCACTCAGCTCTTGCCGTGTGAAAGCTTCTTAAGAAACTAAGCTTTCCATATGTGAACATTTTGGTCAAATAAATAAAACTTCTGAGGAGGAAAACTGCTGAAATGTGTAAAAAATTAAGTCCACAGGGAAAGAACTTTATATTAAGCAGAGGAGTCTTGACTTTGTAGACTGAAAACAATTATGTTTTATTAGATTAATCTAGAACTGAAACAATTAGTCGATTATTCCATTAGTCGAATTAATCAGTAACAGTTTTGATAATGGCACATTTTTAAGAAAAAGTAAATAAGTCTAATTCCAGCTTCTCAAATGTTCACATTTACTATTTTTATTTGATTTATATACTAAATAATCTTGAAAATGAAATTTTTTTGTAGACAATGAAACTAATAAATGAATCAAGAAATAATGATATAGAAAACCATATTAGTTGCAGCCCTAGACTCCAGCCAGTGTTCTTTATGATAACCTAATCCATGAATTGGAAAATTGTGACTATAAGTTTAAAAGCAGTGAGAGGCCAAATCCTCTTGCCTATGCTAATCAATGATTCTATAAAATATTAAATTCAAGCTAGGAGTGGTTAATATGACGGCCAAGCAGGTAAAACCACACATTGATCGTTTAATTTAGCAGTAAGAGCTAAATCATCATATTAATAAAGCCTTTAAGTTGTATGGTAATACTATAAAATGCAGATATCAAGTCTCATGTCACAATATGAATTACAACTGTATAATCAGCAGAATAACATGTAGAGTATGGCCATTATGTTTGTTAAAAGTACATAAATAAATGCAAAATATTGCACTTGTCATAACAGGCTCATACAGGCAGCATGGTCAGATCAATAACCATTTCAGAACTTGGATCACTGCTTGCGTCGGCCAATTGACTCAGTAGTCAAATTTGTTCTGACGAATCAATACTGGTACACCTCCAAGCAAAACACTTCCATGGTAAATCATTGCCAATCAATAAATAAAAATTCCACACTCAAAAGCAAACAGAGCAGCACTAACAGAAGGGCGGCGGAGAATGAATGCAAAATGATAAACGGTGAAAGAAATCTGCTGAGCTTTGTGTAAGAAAGGCTTACCCAGTGTGTTGATCATGCAGATTCCACACACGTCGAGTTTGAGGAGGGTGTGGTAGACGGGCTCGCCTCCCTCGTGGTTCATGAAGAGGTGATAGAGCACGGAGCCCAGCTGGGGCGACAGGCAAGCCAGGAAGTGGACCACGCCCAACCACGTGACGCTGATCTGAGACCAGGGAATGTTGAGAGGCAGCAGCACCAGGAAGCAAACCAAAGGGATGCCTGGAGAGAGGAAGGGTAGCGAAACAAGAGTTCAGCACGGGTTGTTAGAGTAGGTTAATGTACTTCAAACACCTTTGTATTACACAGTGTTCCACACAAATCTAGTTTTTGTGCAGTCATTTGGCATTCTCTTCTGTATGTAATTCCATATTTGGGACTTTGTGACTTGATTTTGAACGATTATTCACTGTTGGGTGTTTCTTCTTGGGCATCCGGTGACAGGCGGGAAACAAAGCCTGAGGTAATACGCACGCTGGTATGAAAACCGTCAGCTCAAGCATGAAAAAAATAACACAGAAACTTCAACAAAACCAAATTAAGGAGTCATGTTTACTGTGATGGATTATCTAGCTCAGGACTTTTGAGGTGGACATTGTTGTGTGTCGCCGCGACAGTCTCCCAACAATGCTGAGTGTGTGCAGACACCAGCAAGAATAATGTGGAGCAAAGCGGAAACCTACATGATTGGCACAGATGTATCAGTGTTACCCTTTGAGGGGAAAGACGAGGCACCCACTGAGCTCTTATTTTGATGCAGCAAAAGGCCATATTGCCAATGGCTACATAGCTCCAATTTAACTTCCTCTATTTGGCGAGGGGGGGGGAGCGTTCACTGCTATGTGGGCAAAATCTAGACCTTGAAATTTGATCCACATACAGTACAGTTGTTACGATCATTTATCACTCCACAGCACGCATATTGCACTCCCTTGCCCTTTTTTTTTTTTTGCCCACTCTGCCTTTCCCAATGTCAAGAAGGCGTTTGTCCCGACCAGGTGATACAGGCAATGCCATCTACTGTAACACATCTATTTTAAGTGTGTTATCTCTGCTCCTCCCCCCACTTGTCCTGAGCCGACAGGCCACACTCAGCCCCACTCTGGGTTGGATACAGTGGAGAGGACCTCCTCCGAAGGGCCGCGGCGTGAACGTGGTGAAGTGTCTAAGAGCTAATCCGCGGGCAGGATGTTTTGAGTTGATATTCAAAACAAAACCAGCTCATGAAACTTAACTTAAATTAAAAAAAAACCCAGTCATGTTGCACCTGAGTTACAAGAACAGCTCAGCATCTTTTCTTATGATTTTGCAAAAATTGAGAGCTCATTGGATTAAACAGCACTTTGTTACGTAGGCAATAAGAGTGTATTTGAAGTCACATGCTCGGCAGACGTCACTGGAGTGTAATAAAGACTTCCAGGGCCACTTCCCTGATGATCACTTCTGCAGTTTATTCTGTGACTGCTGACAGTTGGAGTGCCATTAAATGATGACCTTCACAATGAGGAAGATGTCACATTCTCTGTTGTCTGTGAACACACAGGTTATGTACTGAACTCTCTACAGCTATAGGGTGCATTTGATGGTAGTAAGAGGAAGGCAACATGCTATTGGCAATCTAATCATATCAGTCTGGGGAAAAAAAAGATTGCTAACAAGCTGACACATCAGTCTCACCTCTGGCTGCACAGATTAACACATTACTGCAATTAATTTTGGCTTGCGCCAACCTATTAAAAGAATGGCATATTGTTGTGTAACCATGACATTTTGGACCGGATGAAAAAAGCCACTCCCGGCAGTATCCGTTATGTGCAGTTGAGTTGAACAGACAAACGTGTCAAACTTGTTTTGACATAGCTGGTAAAAATGTGGCCTGAGGCTTGTTTAAAATTCATAATCAAATGTCACTCTTCAGTTTGGCACACATACAATATACAACGTATGGCGCTTTAATTAAAAGAAAAAGTGGTTGTCTTTACTCCCAGTCAACAGATTTAAATTAAAAATTGTGGCAAAGTAACTGAGAGCATGAGCTGGTGGTGGAGGAAGTGTTCAATAAAAGCTCATCATGCTGCTTTTGATAGTCTCTTGATATTGAACCATATGCAAGAGGCACTGATACTTTACTTCTCTATTCAAAGCTTTGCATCGACTGCACTTATCGCTCCTACTAGATTACAAAGTTACTCCACCCCTCTGTGTGAAATGTTCAAAAGAACCGGGATCTCTTTTTGGGGTTATTTCTTAATGTTTTTAACATGGAGTTTTCCTTCTGCCCCTTTAACTGCACTATTTGGGGGTAGAGGTAGAGTGAAGAATAGGGTATGAAGCTCGGGCCGTCTCTCTGTTCACGCTGTTGGACAGAAAACTGCAGCTACAATTCTGGAAATCTGACCCCGAACGTTTGACATGTGGCTGAAGGAATTATAAAATGTATATATATTAAATTCACAATGTCAAACAAACAAGCACTGATCTGAGGGAACTTTAAGGGAACGGTTGGTCTAACCTTGTAACTTCACCTCTTTTGTGTTCTGCTGTATTTCTTTACCACTTTTAAAACTAAACAAACAATAAAACTACTGAATTACAAGTCAAAGTATAAGGAAATTTGATAAAAGTAGCTAATAAAAAAGGTAAAAGGTGTAAATAAAGTAATATTTAAACACATTGAGCTTCTCACATTGCTGCTTCGCAATGTCACATTCATTGAAAACTGAATATCTTTTGGGTTTTGGCCTGTTGATCACATCAAAACAAAAACAATTAAATCTTAAATTGCAGCCCAAAAACATCATATAGTGTCGGGTAGTTTCATAAAACCACAATCAACAAGCTAGTAACTACAGCTGTCTATAAACAAATGAAAGTATACATTTAAAATTAGGTGGAGGTGTATTACTTGTAAATGTTACTTTCCACCACTTTTTAACAGGTGTATTACCATCACTTTTCTTATTGATTAACAGGTATTTTACAACAAAGGACAAACATTAAACAAGTTACTAAGAGTGTTTCATAAACCAAAAAACAAACCACACTTTTTGCCCCCCCCAAAAAAACAAAATCATGAAGATGAAGCTTCCTGTTGTGGGTGAAATACTCTCAGTCACACTACACAACTCTCACCTGCTGACTCAGGGATGCTGATTGTCGTACTCACCGTGAGTGTATATGTTCCCAAGTTCATTGTGCAGGTAAAACAGGCTTCTGATGCAGTCTTGCATCGAGGAGATTGGCCGGTATCCCGTCAGGACGTACTTATTGAACTGAAGATGTGGAGGTGAATTCGCCCAGTCCAGCAATCTGGGTCCATTTAAAAATGCCATAGCAAACAAACCGGTTAAAAGGACCCCGCCGAAAAAGTAAAAAACAGACTGTACACCTATATACACATTTAATAAGATTATTGCGACTAACACCTTATGGGATACCATTTGTGTTGGCATTTGTTTTTGTTTTTTTTTTTTTAAGGGTTCTTAAATATTATTATATATTATTGTGCTGTTTTGTTTTTTTTGTTGTTGTTGTTTTGTTTGTTTTGTTTGTACCCTCCTAAGCTCAAAGTCTCTCACAGCACTACCCGGATCCGCCCGGTACCCGTGCGAGTGTCATCCGCAAGGCTGGAGACAAACACGGCCAGCCACGTACATGGTTGCGAGCTCGGTGCGGTCATCACATTTGGCGTCTTGTTTTTTTTTGTTTTTGTTTTTGTTTTTTAAAAAATGTCCGTGTAGCGCCTGAAAGCCGTCGGTGGTTTGTTCCTCGTCATGTTAGTGAAGGGAAGCCGACGACTTCCTCATCGGGTAGCATTCCGGTGCAGCGGCGCGGAGGCTCCCTCGTCCCAGCCCGGGATGCTGTGGTTGCGGTGGGGAGGGGGGTGGAAGCGAGGCGGGCGAGCACCATCCGACTCCGGATGGATGCTAGCTGTTCGAGCCCAGCGGTCAGAAACTGCAGCAGAGGACTAGCAGGTCATACTTTTTTTTTTTTTTTTTTTTACTTAAATGAAAGAGAAGGAAAAATACGCTCTGTTAGGTCCGTTTGGTAGGTAGCTAGCTTTCGTATTTTTTTTTAAAAACACACATAGAGATTTTAGGAGCGGAGGTTTTTTTTTTTTTTTTTTTTGGGGGAGCGAGAGAGAGAGAGAGGGGGGAGGAGGGGGGAGGACTGCGGGCTAGCAAGCCGGGCAGTCGGCTACCGATGTCCTGTGACTGAGGGTGAGGAAGCTGATATTTGAGCCGGTTGACTCCAAACAAACACGGTCCCGGTCTGTAAAGCGTACGTTCAGTTTCTTCGACGTCTGTTCTGTCTCATCGTTATCCATATTTGTTTCAGGCTCGCTGGTATTCCTTGAAATGCGGAGTCTTCCCTGGCGGCCTCAAGTCCCCCTGCATCGCTTCTACACATGCGTGAAGTTAGAACGTACCGGACCGAACTTCCGGTCACTGTTTTCAAAATAAAACCTATATATATATATATATACTCTATGAATGTGCCACTTTGTTTGTGTGTGTGTGACTACATTTTTAACAATATTTATGGAAGATATATTACATAGATAACAAATCAAAGTGTTGTGATGACTTCACATAACATCAGTTCACTACGGCAATCCTGTTGTAGCCTACATGTGCATAAGTTGACATCCGACATTAAAATAGATATAATAATAAATTGTGTTAAGTAACACAGAAGGTCTGAACCATCCCTTAGTTATGCTGCTATAGGCCTAGACTATCGGGGGATTTCCCATGGTGCACTGAGCTACTCTCTTCCTCTCTCTTTCTGCACTCATTCATGTCCCATTAATGCATGTTACTAACTCCACTTCTTCCCCGGAGTTCTTGTGCTTTCTCGTCTCGCAGGTTCTCATGGATCCTGGTGGAGCCTCCTGCCATGGTCCTGCTTGACTGCCATTGCCAATACTGTTGTTGCTGTGCACCTGTCTGTCTGTCTGTCTCTCGCTCTCTTCCCTCTCTCTCTCTCTCTCTCTCTCTCTCTCACCCCAACTGGTCGAGACAGACGACCACCCACCTTGAGCCGGAGGATCTGTCCTAGGTTTCTGCCTTTTAACAGGCAGTTTTTCCTTGCCCTTGTCGCCAAGTGCTTGCTCATGGTGGTACTGTTGGGTCTCTGTAATTAATGTTAAAGAGTTTGGTCTAGACCTGCTCTATTTGAAAAGTGTCCTGAGATAACTTCTGTTATGAATTGGCACTATACAAATAAAATTGAATTGAATTGAATTGAATTGAATTATAAAGTTCAAACACTGAATAAAGACTGCATTTGGTGCCACTGGTGTTTGCTTGTGTCCAGAATGCTGCAGGTTCAAGTCCGAAAAAATATCCAGAAATAGTCCCAGTTTGTGGGGTGGGGTGCAGTAGCGGGGTGCTGGGTAGTCGAGGGTCTGAATGCATTGGACTATATTAATTTAACATTTCACACGGGCGTTGAAGCAAGATCACGTGTGTGCATTGTTCAGTTGAGTTTAGCTCAACATAGTTAACATAAACACACATAAGGTGATGATGATGTCCTTTGGGGGGGGGTCGAGTGCAAATATATGCTTTTGGACAACAACACACCCTCCATATCTCCAACTGCTGCTCTGTGTACATTGTGTATGCACTCTTTCACCCTGGAATAATACTACCTAGCACCAGGTATTTTTGTGGCAACTCCATTAAAGAAAACGTACCATGAGAGAGCAACAAAATAATAAATACAGGGGCCATACACAGGATAGCAGGACCCATCTCCATTGTTGGTGCATATTCTCTAACAAATTTGCAATTAACCAAATGACCAACTGACACACAGTGAACCTGGGACGCTGGGGAAGCAATGGTGCCCTAAAAAAGCTTCCCATTATGCCTGCTTTTAAATACAGCTTTCTTTTTTGGAAATACTCACACACACACACACAAACAGACACACAAAAACTTGCAATAAACTTTATTCAAAGATTAAATTTTATTTTGAAGGTGGATTTCTGGTCTTATTCTGGTGGACTGAGGTTCGTTTCATGCTGCCTGGCTGCATTTATGGGAGTGTGAATGCCAACACTGGCTGAGCTACAGCTGCCTTCAAGACAGGCGGAAATATTGCATTTAACACCTGAGCTCACATGATAAACAGAAAGAACATGAATATTATTTGTTATGACTACAAACCAATATGTTTAATTGCAGCGACAAAGAGAGTCTTTCCCCCTGTGTAGTGATATTATATTTTGTGATAGAAATTGAGGTCAGCCCTTCTTTTAAAAAGGCCTAAATGTTTAATGTTATGAAACTTGATTATACCAGAGAAACAAAATTATATTGCAAGACCTTGTAAATACTCTGATGATTCATATTTGAATGCAATTAGTCTGCACTAAAAGCTGCTTCTCTATGAATGAGTCACCATCCAAACACATGACACATTCGAGGGCAGTGCTCAAATCGCACACATGCTTCGTATTGCTCGACTTCTAATTTCAGACAACAACATAACACTGTCATTGCAGGGGTCAAGTTTTTGCTACCATTACTGCACAAAAGTAACGGAGGCACTTGGAGTTAGAAGTTTCCCAGGAGCACTTGAAGGCAGCAGGTGACGTCCTGTAATCCTCTCATGGGAGAGGATCTGGATGAATCACACTACCTCCACCTCTAACCCCCCTCTGCTTGCTTGGACCTTAGGCCGTGTAGCAACCACACGTCTGTGGGACTGTGACAAACAAGACTTTTCTTTTGGACACATGTTGATCAGACTCCCAATTCCACAGAAAGTGGAGGAGAGAAGTGAAGAATACAACAATATACCTTCATGTCATAGCCTACATGTTTCATATACTTCTTATTTAGTTTGTCTCCTACTCACAGTGCTGCCTTACACATCTTTGTGCTGTAAAATGTGTATTTTTTAATGTATGAATTGAGGCATTTATCAGTTTTATTTGATTGTTTGGTGCATTTACATGTTAGGAAGGTCAATCATGTCTCTTCTTTTGTTGTATATTGTACATTTGTCTGTGCTGCTGAAGTCTGGTTTGGTTGTCTCGTTTTCTCACCAGCTTGAGCAAATGGCAGCTTTTATGTTGGTCAAACTGTCAAAACCACTTGTTTATTTCCACCTGTTCTTCGTTTCTCACGTTTACCACACCTTATTTGTCTATAAAAGCACCATGTAGCAATGTTCATGCACATACAGATTCACGCATGCAGCATGAACACGTGAAACAAAAGTAAGTATATATGCTAATTTGCCTATTTTGAAACATTAATTCAGTTCAATTCAGTTTTATTTGTATAGTGCTAATTCATAACAAAAGTTATCTCAGGACACTTTTCAAATAGAGCAGGTCTAGACCGAACTCCTTATAACATTATTTTATTATTTATTATTATGTCTCGACCAGTTGGGGTGAGCTAGAGAGAGACAAGAGAGAGAGAGAGAGAGACACAGACAGACAGACAGACAGACAGACAACTACACTCATAGTAGTGACTGATGATGATGAACATGACAACAGCAACGATGGGGGACAATTAGCAGTGACAACAGCAACGACAGTAACCGTAGCTATAATAATACTTATAATAATAATAACACTAATATCAGTGATACTGGCAATGGCAGTCAAGCAGGACCATGGCAGGAGGCTCCACCAGGATCCATGAGAACCTGCGAGACGAGAAAGTACAAGAACTCCGGGGAAGAAGTGAAGTTAGTAACATGCATTAATGGGACATGAATGAGTCTAGGTCTATAGCAGCATAACTAAGGGATGGTTCAGGACTCACCTGATCCAGCCCTAACTATAAGCTTTATCAAAGAGGAACGTCTTAAGCCTACTCTTAAATGTGGAGAGGGTGTCTGCCTCCCGAACCACAACTGGAAGCTGGTTCCACAGGAGAGGAGCTTGGTAACTGAAGACTCTGGCTCCTGTTCTACTTGTAGAGACTATAGGAACCACAAGTAGCCCAGCATTCAGAGAACGTAGTGTTCTAGGGTAATAGGGTACTATGAGCTCTTTAAGATATGAAGGGGCCTGACCATGAAGAGCTTTATAGGTGATGAGGAGGATTTTAAATTCTATTCTAAATTTTACAGGGAGCCAGTGCAGAGAAGCTAGTACAGGAGAGATGTGATCTCTTTTTCTAGTTCCTGTTAGTACTCGTGCTGCAGCGTTTTGAATTAATTGGAGCGTTTTAATGGACTTATTGGGGCAACCTGATAATAAAGAATTGCAGGAATCCAGCCTTGAAGTAACAAATGCATGGATTAGTTTTTCTGCATCTGTCTGTGATAGGATGTGTCTAATCTTTGTAATATTACATAAATAAAAGAAGGCAGTCCTGGAGGTCTGCTTTATGTTGGAATTAAATGACAAATCCTGATCAAAGATAACATTTTTTTTTTCTGAGTTTAACATCAGAAAATTGCAGCTCATCCAGGATTTTATGTCCTTAAGACATGTTTGTAATTTAGATAATTGATTAATTTCATCGGGCTTGATCGATATATATAACTGCGTATCATCTGCATAACAGTGAAAGTTAATGGAGTGATTCCTAATAATTTTGCCTAAAGTGAGCATATATAAAGTAAATAGTATTGGTCCAAGTACAGAACCTTGTGGAACTCCATGACTAACTGTAGTATTTATTGAAGATTCATCGTTAACGTGGACAAACTACGAACGATCTGATAAATATGACTTAAACCAGCTTAGTGCGGTTCCTTTAATGCCAATTTGATGCTCAAGTCTCTGTAAAAGAATATTATGGTCAATGGTGTCAAATGCAGCACTAAGATCTAATAATACAAGTACAGAGACAAGTCCATTGTCAGCAATCAGAAGGTCATTATTAACTTTAACCAGAGCTGTCTCTGTGCTGTGATGAATCCTGACTGAAAATCCTCAAATAAACTATTGTTATGTAGAAAGTCACACAACTCTTTGGCGACTACTTTCTCCAGAATCTTAGAGAGGAAGGGGAGGTTAGAAATCGGTCTATAGTTGGCTAAAACCCCTGGGTCAAGAGTGGACTTTTTAGAAGGGGTTTAATTACAGCTACTTTAAAGGACTGTGGTACATATCCTGATAATAAAGAAAGATTAATCATATCCAGTAAAGAAGTGCCAATTAAGGGTACGACTTCTTTAAGCAGCCTAGTTGGGATCAGGTCTAACAGACAGGTTGATGGCTTCGATGTAAAAATTATTTAAATGAAGTTAACTGATGAAGATCGATAGCAGAAAAACAGTCTAAATATATATCTAAGTTTACATTAGTTAAAGTTCCTGAACTTGGAGAGCCACTGATAGCTGTTGATGGCAGTTGGTGATTAATTTTCTCTCTAATAGTAATAATTTTATTATAAAAGAAGCTCATGAAGTCATTGCTACTTAAGTTTATGGGGATATGTGGCTCAATAGAGCTGTGACTCTCTGTCAGCCTGGCTACAGTGCTGAAGAGGAACCTAGGGTTGTTCTTATTTTCTTCTATTAGTGCTGAGTAATAGGCTCCTCTGGCATTACGGAGGGCCTTTCTATAGGTTTTAAGATTATCTTGCCAAATTGAGCGATATTCTAATAATTTGGAAGAGCGCCATTTCCTTTCTGATTTCCTAGCTATTTGTTTTAACTGGCGGGTTTGGTGGTTATACCAAGGTGCTAGTCTCCTATATTTTAATAATTTCCTTTTTATAGGAGCGATAGAGTCTAATGTTGATCGTAGTGAGCCTGCAGCACTATCAACAAGATTATCAATTTCGGAGGGACTAAAGTTATTATAGGACTCTGCTATATTCAGACATGGCATTGAATTAAACACTGAAGGAATCTCCTCCTTAAATTTAGCTACAGCACTGTCAGATAGACATCTGCTGTAGGAAGTTTTGCCTAAAGGTTTATAATCTAATAGTATGAATTCAAAAGTTATTAAATAATGGTCAGATAGGAAAGGATTATGTGGGAAGACTATTAAATGTTCAATATCAATGCCATATGATAGAACAAGGTCAAGAGTGTGACATTACCAAACTTGATTTGAAAATGTACGATAATAATAATCATAATAATAATTAACTTTAAATTTAAAAGACAATGTTCCATGGTGGTTTACAATGAAAAAAAGAATAAAAAAGTAAATAAAATCCAAAACATGAAATATGAAATGAGATAAAATAATTATATCGATGAAGAACCGGTCAACCTTCACAAGTTGGGCCTTCGTAGGGCGTCTTTAGTCTTGTTTCTCCTAATCATCATTAATTGTAATTATAAGTTTTACATTGTTCTAATCACAATCTGTCAAAATAAATAGAGACAAAATACTAAAGCAGCAGATTGATTGTTTTGATTTTTACTGTAGAGCATTTTACAGTTAGCCTCCTGACGCTGTCGCTGTCAGTCATACGGTTAATGTTCCTTCCAAAGACTGAAAGTTGGCAGAAACAGTCTTCACGAGGAGTTTGTCCAGTCCGTGAAGGTTTCAGCTGGGTCTAAAACTACTTAAAACAGAGGGGTCCGGAGAGGTTTCTTCAAGAGAGGGTGTAAACAGCAGCAAATTGGAAAAATATACAGACGCAGAGCAGTTAATAATGGCTACCATATCTGCACCAACCGTCTAAAATACTGCTCTTATAAACCAAGAGTGAATGCAGAAGGAAAGGCAGGTGGATGATTTTGAAAGTGCAAAAGGCACAGTGCTGCAGAGCGACTGAATATGCTTCACTTGCTCATTTGTTAAATTAAATGTTTTTCAGGATAAACCATCAGTTTGCATCCATCATCCAACTTAACAGCAACATGCTTCTGTTGAATATCTGCGTCTATGCAAGCCTCATGCTGTCCCTCCCTCAGTGTACGTATCAGTCATGCACAGAAGGGACACCCAAACAGTGCAGGGAAGCAGAATTTGCTCCAGGTAGCAATTTAGCTGGGGAAGGCTTCGATATCACCAAAATGGAACGTAAGGGGGCCTTTGTGATCGACATGAATCGGTGGAAACGCAAGGACAAGACATGCACCCTGTGCAGCAACCCCTATCTGCAGAACAAGAAGCAGAAGCTCCCCTTGTCAGTGGTGGACTGGAGGGCAAAGCACTCCTGCAGCATGAAAGTGGTCAGTAAACTCCACCGATCCAGTGAGTCTCTGGTCAGCTCTACCTCCTCTTCTGTTGAAAACAACTGGAAGACCAACTTAGATTTTAAAGCGGGGACTAAAGGCGCCTCATTGATGCTGGCTGGTACCAATTCGAAATTGGCTGAATACTCAATGGCAAAAACTAAGAATGACAAGTTCAGCTTCACAAGTCACAGCATGTTCTGTGAGTACTACAGGTAAGAAGACTACTGGGAAAGGTTTTTTCCACACACTCCTCTAGAAGCAAAGATATGCAATCAATAAAATGAATGAACTTTAATGCAATACTGTAAAACACCTGTTACATATTGATCTGTATTTTGTCTCACTGGAAACAGCTACCGAGTGACCGGCACTCCCAAGTTGCACAAAGAATTTCGCACAGCAGTGACACGGCTCCCCAAAATCTACAACTCTGAAACCAAGGAACGATTTTACAAACTGATTGACAACTTTGGCACCCATTACATCACCAAGGTGAACCAACATAATGGCATGGTTATAACTAAACATAATGTAACAAACATTGTAAGTCATTTGCTTATGCAGAAGGTATTCAAATATATAATTGCAGGTGAAGATGGGAGGAAGTGTTCAATCTGTGACCAGCATCAGGCAGTGCCAGGCCAGCCTGCAGGGCTACAGCGCAGAAGAGGTGCAGATGTGCCTGGAAGTTGAAGCCTCCGTTAGCATGAAAGTTACAGTAGAAGCTCAAGCAAAACACTGCAAGAAAGACATTGAGAAGACGGAGAGTAAGTCAGCCTTCTCCAGCCTCTTCAACGACAGGTATAGAATACTTTTGTCATATATTTCGTCATGTTTTTATATTAATTTGTACTTCTAAATTACAATTCTCAACACTGGAAGGGACAAACTGTGGTTGACTTAAATGTGAGAATTGAAATATGTCCCACCAAATTCTAAGCCCCACTATCAGTGCATACCGATGGAGTGAGACTTTCAAAATCATGTCAGGCAATATTAATTCCAATTAAAAACACCCTTATATATGAAATTTAGACCCCCATGATGTTCAGATACATACTCCTGCTCAGCTTATTTAATAACACTCTTCTCTATAGATTCACAGAAATAAAGGGGGGCCATACGACAGAGCCAGACCTTCTCTTCTCTGCTGACAAAGATCCTTCAGCCTACAAGCAATGGCTGAACACAACATCCCAGAACCCAGACATAGTCTCATATTCCCTAGACTCACTGCACGAATTACTTCCTGCAAACACTTCAACCTGGGAGAACCTGCGCTCAGCCATATCTCATTACATCCTGGAGAAAGGTCTGTGGAAGAACTGCAGTGAGAAATGTCAAGTTGGCGTCAAGAGCGACCTGAAGGATTCCTGCGTCTGCCAGTGCCACAATGACCCCGCTGTAAACGCAGACTGCTGCCCGACCCGTAAGGGCATGGCACGGGTCATCGTAACTGTACAACGGGCTTCTGGTCTTTGGGGAGACTGGTTCACATCCACTGATGGCTATGTTAAGGTGTTTTTCAACAACAAAATGGTCCACCGTTCTCCTGTGATTTACAACAACAACAACCCACACTGGGCCATGGTCGCTGACCTGGGCTCCGAGGATTTGTCAGCGGGAAAACTGAAATTTGAAGTGTGGGATGAGGACAACAAGTGGGATGACGACCTGTTGGGACAATGTGAGATGGTTCTGTCTGCTGGAGTCAAGCAGGATCTCTGTAACCTGCATCACGGCAAGCTGTTCTACAAATTGGAAGTGAAATGCGCTCCGAGTCTGAGTGGAAGTTCATGTAAGGACTATAAACCTACGCCTATGAATCAAAATCTGAAGAAGCTGTATGTGTCCCGTCATGCTCGCCGTATTCCAAAGGCCTTCCTGTTACAGATGGGTGTGTTTGTGGACAAAACAAGTCCACAGAGAAACCAGAGTCTTACCACTCAGAGCCTAAAGTATGATGAGATATAACACCCGTGTGTTTGGCTAAACACATACAATTTATTGTGTTGATGAGATGAATCTACAGAAGCTTTCTTTTCTGAATGTATGATTTATTATCTCATAATTCTGAGATAAGTTTTCATGAAAAGAATTCTGCTCTGTTTTTCTGAATTAACGAGATACCTCCAGCAGGCTCTCCGTGCCCGGGGATGGCTCTCAGGCCACCTCAACCAAACCCAAATCCTATAAACAGCCTCCAGCATGTTCCAGTTTCTAAAAAGTCCCTGCAGTCATTGAAATGTGAGTTTGATTCAGTGCATCTTTTACTTACAACTTCATTTTTTGTCATATGTTTTACAGGCTTTTTTTCAGCTTTTTTCTTGTTTCTCTACAGACATTCATAACATGTAGTGATGTGTTTAATACATTTTAGTCCCATTTTTGCTTTGTTGATTTGCGGCATGATGTTTGACTCCAATTCTAAACAGAGATGTGAAGAATAGAACAATAAATACATTTTATACCTTTAATAGTCAGTTCTCTTCTCTTATACTAGCGTTATTTCTTTACATCTCATTATTGCTGATATAAATATAGTTTTAACATATGAATTCATGCATTTATACATTTTGATTGATTGTTTTCTTGTTATCTCTAATTTGAATGCCACTTTCTCTGTTAATTTCAAATGTGTTATATTATCCATCTGTAATGTACCTTTTTAGTGTTCTTAAATAAAAACACTTATATTTATATAAGGGTTTTTAATTTATGTTCTGTGTATTTTAATTTAGATTATTTGTATTAGCTGTGCAGAGTTTGCTGCTGAACCAGTCCAATTCTATCAAAGGGCTCCCTAAAAAGTGATTCTATCTTATCATATACAACTATTAAGTTACTTTGTATTTGTAATAAACTGAAGAATTTGATGAGAGCGTGTCTCCTGTTTTCACCGTTTATAGCCACAGCCCACTACCACTTCAGAGAAATGATAGGTTTGTGGTCTCTGGTTCGTTATTGACTGGAAAGCCAGGCTGACTTTTATGTTGTCAGTATCTATTTGAGCTTGTCTATAGACCACCAACTCCTCCTCCTCAAAACTGGGTCTGCTCAGCATCGATGAAACAGTCAAACCACTTCTTTTTTTTTTCCCTTGCTCTCTTCAAGACCACTGTCACCTCACCCCCTCACCACCGCCTGCCCTGTTTTTTTCGTTTTACATTTAAACACAAAGCACTGATATTCATGCTCACAGTCAGTTCCAGAAATGCGGCGTGAACAGGCAAGACGAAGGTGAGTCTACGCTGTTATACTCATATTAAAATATTCTTTCACGTTATTTGAATATACTAACCGTCAATGGGTTGTTTAATATAGTGTTGAGGTATTAAGGATCCAAACGTAGTATAGTTCAGTCTTGTAACATTTGTGAGATCTGTAGTTTCAAACATTCAGAAAGCTTTTATACTTTAAGTCAAGTTCATATATTTATAGAGCACATTCAAAGACAACAAATGCTGACCACAGCAGTTGTGTAGTCTTGATGGTTGTGGTGACTCACATGCAGTAGTAGAAACACTGGTCTTAAGACAGGATTTAAAAAATTCACAGTTCACTGGAAAGACCTGAAGGTGAGGACTAAAATGTCCCACAGTCTTGGGGGCAACAGTGGAAAATGTTTCATCACCGTTGGATTTTAACTGAGAATGTAGAATTGAGAGGAACATCTAGGAAGTTAAGTTGCAATAGGGGCTAAAGAGAGAATAAACTTGTGTCAATCCATGCAGTGTTTAAAAGATTGTTAAAATCAATTCTTCTGTTCACTTCTTGGTACCAGTGAGGAGATTTGTGACAAACCACTAGCATGACTGGACTGATTGACTCAATAAGAAAGTCACCGAAATCAAGGTGCAAAGTCTGTTAACAGTCTCCTGATCCCTCAATGACAGAGTGTTAGATCGCAGTGGAGTTTGTCAGATTCTACACCTAGACCATGGCATGTTGAAGGACATTTGAGCACAAACCACTAAAGGAAACCGAGGGGGGAGAAATGAGCAGATTTGTCTTTCTCTTGTAACGTTTTTTGGCCATGCAGTACTTGACACCCTTGCGGCAAACGAGAAGAGACTTAAGGGTGCCCTCTTATGAACAAACAAAAGTTACACTACCAAAAAACATTCTGTGTATCTCAGAGGTCTAACACCTGTTTTAAACTCATATCATAAAACATGAAACTATGGGACGGGGACCAAACCACAAGAGAAAGAATCAAAGGAAGATAAAGAGTTAAAACCCATGACTGAAACTGATATATTGGGAAGATAAGACTCAAACCACAAGGCTTTAATCTGAAAATGAACTACATGACTGAGATAGTTTATCAAAACCAGTAGAGGGATCTAACACAATTAAAATAGTTTTTATTTTTTTGATTTTCAACGTCTAAAGACAACACAGAGTCATTTAAAACTTTTTACACTAAGTAGTGGTGTGGTAATAACCTGCTTGCTCATGCTTGTTAAACTAAAATGTTGCTTTTTTCAGGATAAACCATCAGTTTGCATCCATCACCCAACTTAACAGCAACATGCTTCTGTTGAATATCTGCGTCTATGCAAGCCTCATGCTGTCCCTCCCTCAGTGTACGTATCAGTCATGCACAGATGGGACACCCAGAGAGTGCGTGGAAGCAGAATTTGTTCCAGGTAGCAATTTAGCTGGGGAAGGCTTCGATATCACCAAAATGGAACGTAAGGGGGCCTTTGTGATCAACATGAATCAGTGGAAACGCAAGGACAAGACTTGCACCCTGTGCAGCAACCCCTATCTGGAGAACAAGAAGCAGAAGCTCCCCTTGTCAGTGGTGGACTGGAGGGCAAAGCACTCCTGCAGCATGAAAGTGGCCAGTAAACTCCACCGATCCAGTGAGTCTCTGGTCAGCTCTAGTACCTCTTCCGTTGAAAACAACTGGAAGACCAACTTAAATTTTGAAGGAGTAAGTCGAAGTGCCTCATTGATGCTGGCTGGTACCAATTCTAAACTGGCTGAATACTCAATGGACAAAACGAAGAATGACAAGTTCAGCTTCACAAGCCACAGCATGTCCTGTGAGTACTACAGGTAAGAAGATGACGACTGGGATGAAAGTTTTCTCTATACACTCACCTAGCTCTGAAAATAAATACAATATCCTAATACATTTGTTACATATTGATCTGTATTTTGTCTCACTGGAAACAGCTACCGAACGTCCGGCACTCCCAAGTTGCACAAAGAATTTCGCACAGCAGTGAAACAGCTCCCCAAAATCTACAGCCCTGAAAACAAGGGACGGTTTTACAAACTGATTGACAACTTTGGCACCCATTACATCACCAAGGTGAACTAAGATTGTGAAAGCAAAACGTAATTAATTAACAAATTGGCAAATTATACAAAGTAACACATTTGCTTATGAGCTATTTGTTAAAACATATCATTCTAGGTGAAGATGGGAGGAAGTGTTCAATCTGTGACCAGCATCAGGCAGTGCCAGGCCAGCCTGCAGGGCCTCAGTGCAGAAGAGGTGCAGATGTGTCTGGAAGTTGAAGCCTCCGCTAGCATTAAAGTTACCTTAGAAACTGAAGCAAAACACTGTCAGGCAGACATGAACAAGATGGAGAGTAAGACATCCTTTTCCGGCCTCTTCAGCGACAGGTATGGAACATTTTCTGATCTATTTTGTCGCATTTTCAATTAATTTACACACTGAAAATTGTTAGTTCTTGAAATAGTTCTTAAGCAACTCTCTTCTCTATAGATTCACAGAAATAAAGGGGGGCCATACGACAGAGCCAGACCTTCTCTTTTCTGCTGACAAAGATCCATCGGCCTACAAGGAATGGCTGAACACAATACCACAGAACCCAGACATAGTCTCATATTCCCTGGATTCACTTCATGAATTGCTGCCTACTAACACCCCTGTCCGTAAGAGCCTGCGCTCAGCCATTACTCATTACATCCTGGAGAAAGGTCTGTGGAAGAACTGCAGTGAAAAATGTCAGGCCGGCATCAAGAGCGACCTGAAGGATTCCTGCGTCTGCCAGTGCCACAATGACCCCGCTGTAAACCGAGACTGCTGTCCAACCCGTAAAGGCATGGCCGAAGTCACCATAACTGTACAACGGGCTTCTGGTCTTTGGGGAGACCACAGCACAGCCACCGATGGCTACGTGAAGGTGTCCTTCAATGGGGTAGTGGTCCAACGTTCTCCAGTCATTTACAATAACAACAACCCACACTGGGAAATGGTCGTCCCCCTGGGCTCCCGGGATTTGTCAACAGACAATAAAGTGAGATTTGAAGTGTGGGATGAGGACAACAAGTGGGATGACGACCTGTTGGGACAATGTGAGATGGTTCTGTCTGCTGGGGTCAAGCAGGATCTCTGTAACCTGCAGCACGGCAAGCTGTTCTACAAAGTGGAAGTGAAATGCGCTCCGAGTCTGTGTGGAGATACATGCATGGACTATAAACCAACGCCTATGACTCAAAGTCTGAAGCCGCTGTATGTGTCCCGTCATGCCCATCCTATTCCAAAGGCCATCCTGTTAAAGATGGGTGTGTTTGTGGACGAAACAAGTCCACAGAGAAACCAGAGTCTTACTACTCAGAGCCCAAAGTATGATGAGATATAACACCCGTGTGTTTAGCTTTACTGAGACTTTCATAGCGACATATAACCCTTCTGTAACTGACATCCCCCATTAAATCTGCACTGAGCATAAAGGATTATTTGGTAAGATTTTATTATGTGTTGACAAAGCAGCTGCAGCTCAATTCTAGAAAATGTGCCTAATATATGATATGTTTCAGTTTAATTGAAATTAAAGTTTTTAATTTGCAGTTGCACAGTTTACAGTTTCTGGACACTAAATGATTTGTGTCTGACAGAAGATCAATATTAACGTAGGCTTTCTAATGACTGAAATAATGCCCATCATACTCACTTTTTTTACGGGACAATACAGCATATCATATAAAGGTTCTTGTAGCAAAAATGTAAGTTTGATATAACATAGCTTTTTATTATAAACGTATTTATGCCTTATTTTTCCACTTCTTTATTTGCACATTCAAAAACATGATGTTGTGTATTGTGCAATCACTTTTGAAGCATTCAAACATGTATAACATCTACGAGTGTGTTTCATGTGTTTTAATCTTACAATCTTTGTTTATTTGAATAAACTCACAATATCTAAACTGTTCATCGATGTTTCATCGTATTACTTTTAGTTTTGATTTAAGTGTTCATGTTCTGTTTGTGTCAATGTTACCCGACATGAGAAAGGAAGTGGTAAAACTTCCTGTGTACGGATGAGGCTTTGCTGACACTATTGAAGAGAAGAACGTATGTAGGTAAACATGATGTCTAGTGTTTTTACTCAGAAGCTTCTTTGACACATAATTTATTGGCTTCAAACTGTAAAATCATAATTTTATTATTAATTTTAAAACATACAGACAATTTTCTTGCACTTTACATCTATTTATGTTCATCAATCGCCACCAGTTTTTTTCAGTTTCGACAGATAAGACTGGTGGGGCACTGCAAGGGTTTTGACCAACAAGACACACAGACATGGGTAGCAAATGTCCACTTGCAGAGAAAGACAAAGGGATTAAGAAAAATAAAACATGACAAAACAGACATAACACAACAGGAAAAATGGGTTGAAACACACGAAAAGCTTTAAAAACACATTACACTGAACACATTATGGAAATGATCCACTTGAAGAAGTCCAGGTCATTTGAATTAGCCTGGTTAAAGACAGAGACAGATGGGGAGGAGCACAAAGTTAATGATTCGGGAAATATTGATTAACGTTAATGACATACAATAAACCTCAAAAATTTCCACCTTAACATATCACTGGGGTTTATATTCAATCTATTTTTCTTTAGAGGTTTTCCCCATGGTGACATTTTATGAGGTTTTAACTGCACCAATTGTAAACTTCCTTCGTTCTCACCTTTGTATCCATTTCCAAGGGCACCATTCACTCCGCCATATTTGCCAGCTTGCTCTCCTGTGAAAGGATAACACAGTTCCATGTTATAAATGAGTTGAGAAGGAAACTGCAGCAGTAAGAGAAAAGATGTTGACAGCTAAGCTAAACCTCGCAACAAAGGATTTTGACTTTTATTAGAGGACTCAGCCGACTCACAATGCAGGCTCCATACCCTTGAGTGGAAAATAATCCATAATGCATGCAGTTGTACTTTTTGTGTGTAATTTAAGTAGAAGTACATGGTCAGAGCATGTGAAAAAAAACAATTACGTGCGTGTAAAGAGTTTATTTTCCAAAAATAGACATACCTCATTTGTTTTAGTCAGGAAAAGAAATTGTGTGTGTGTTTGAAAGCACAGTAATGTTTAGACACATGCAAAACCGCACACATGAAAGCTATTTTGTAACATAGCAAAGTTTGCAGTACACTATATGCTGTCACTTACATATTATGCAAGAAGACATGTCTAATAAGGGCACCAGAAACTGCAAAGTGAGTGGAAGTTGATCATAAATGAGGAAGTCTGGGCGTTTCTTGCTTACCAAAGCCATCTTGAGTTGTTCCAAGCTGTGCAACATAACCTTATCGAACACAGGAAAAGAAATAAAAATTTAAAAACACACCAGGACTAAAGACAAATACACAAAATACATTTATCTTTTGGTGTTTTTGGAGCTGGAGTAATGTGTGCAGCTAAAGGGTACGCTTAAAAATGTAAACCTCAATTATGCAAGACATAGCGATACTAAAAATACTTATTACTGTCATGCTCATGCAACCACCTCTGAGAGTGAAATGCGATGTACTGGTGTGACGAAGGATACACAGAAGGGGTCTTGTGCATTGTGTGAGAGCATGTGCTGTTTCTTTGGGTGAGAGAGTGCATGGAAATTCCTACCTGTTTGCTGAGCTCCTGAAATAACACAGAACATGTTGTACTTTAATAAAGGTAACAAGACACAACACAATAACACACACAGCATTGAAGTATCTCATATGACAAGACATAAATCTGCTGTCTGTCCCAGAATGCAAAGACAAAAAGAAAAACTATCTCACTGCTTTAGAAAAACAGCCCATTTCTGTTACCAACAGTTTCTCACACTTTATAGCTCACGTAACCTCTCAGTCTCACCATATTTGTTGAGGGTTTTGGCACCTTCGGCACCGAGCCCGAGATGCTGAGTGCCATACGGGTAACCACCATCACCTAAGGAGATGACATACATGTAACTGTTGCAGTGAGGTTGTGATGATTGAACTGGATGGTTGATTGTTATGTACAAAAAGTATTTATTTCACAGGTGCCATTTTGATATGAAATAGTAGGGTAAATACAGGCACCCTGACTCTGTTTGACCTATTAGTGTCATTGCTAACACCTGTGTTTACCCTACTATCTCATTTCAAACTGACTGCTGTGAAAAAGGTATATTGTGCCGTACACATTATTGAGGCCCTTGAAACAACGATTTAGGACTCCACCAATAGGCTGACATGACTACATGTACCAACGACACACAGAAATTGTCCAGATAAATGACAATAACAAATAAGGTGGAGGCAAAAAATGGGAGCATTATGATTATGTATTATTATTGCAAATTAAACCTTCCAGTCCAGTAGGAATCACTGGAGCGTTACCATAAGGAACCTGAGCAGCTCCTCCTGCAAGAAAAAACAGACGGTCAAACTGACTCACATCTCTTTTTCTCTCATTTTACCTGTGAACCAAGCTCTGTGCTATGTATGACTCGCACATGGAAAGCCACACTGACAGAAGCCTGACTAATAGTGCAACAGAAGGATGAGGTCATGTAAGCTCTGCTCACCATATTTGCCACCAGTTGAATCCAGCCCTGTACCGAGTGCTCCTGAAAGAAGATAAGAGGGGCTTCAGTGACAAGCTTTCAAACAATATATATTCATACAGACCACTTATTGGTGATTAGGTTGTTTCCCTCCAGCTTGTCTGTTGGTTTGATAAGATTTCTCGAAAGTAGCAGATTTGACTGAAATGTGGAAGATGGATATTTGTAGCTGTAGCTTTTACGCAGCATTTGTGTGAAACTTCGCTGCTTTATTATAAGATAACTCATAGGTTACTGTGAACAAACCACTACACAACCTGCATCTGTGTGTGCTGGGAGGGGACAGTTGTTTGTTCACATTGTCTTTTCCACCTGTTTAATTCTAAATAATATGAATCATCTTGAGCAGCCTTGGTGGAGGCCTTCTTGTATTTCCATGGGTTGGTATTTGTAACAGTGTATGGGCAGCCAGTGTCATATCTGTTGCTGCTCCATCCTTAAATGTCTTACCATACGCTCCCTGGACCTGTCCATATTGGCCTCCTGTACTGAGGGCTGGAAAAATCAAAACACAACACAAACATTTCGGTCAGACACAGTTAATCCGTTAACTGAGTCACACCTTTAGTAGCAACTGTGTCAAAAAGCGTCTACAGGAGCAGGAAGTCAGAAACCACCAGATTAAACTGGTCAGTTTCTATGAATTAGAGACAATAGCTACACCCAGTGGATAAAAGACCACACTGGTTGTTCAGCAGAGGAAGTGTGTTTCCTTGACGGCCTCTTAGGCCCAGTTTAGACCTGACCAGGTATTAACATGCATCTTGGGTGATCTGATCACAGAGTACAGCACCCAAGACACATTGAGCGTGCATTAAGATCCGATCGCACAGACCACATTTGCCATCCTGTAAGTACACACTAAAGACTCTTGCAGGGCTCTCTGCCAACTTAAGCAGCAGATGTTTGTGAACAAAGCAACAGTCTGTCTATGACGAATACTTTCATTCAATCATTTGGGCCTTCTTGTAAAGGAAAATGTTCCACATTGGAAAATGTTATACAGGGTGTTGGCATGAAGCCCGACAGGAGAGATGCTCTTTTTCCCTGGTATTAATGCCTGTCTTTTTCCCCTGTGATCATCAAACATCAGATTTCCACACAGTTGGAGAAAGTAAAAGGGTGTGTCCTATTTCAGTCATAAAATCCTACAGCCACCACAGTGCTGATACTGCAGGTAAAACATGCAACTGTCAACCGAAAAACAGTTGAATCTTTTCTTATTGAACAGCCAAAAGGATAGTAATAATGGACATTGACTGACACAGCCCTATTAAGTGTGCGGCGGGAAAGTGAGAGCCGATCACAAATGGTCATTGAAGACAAATTTTAATGTCAGTTGTGAACTCATGTCCTTGGAGTTGTCCACTTGTGATTGGATCATCCAAGATGTGTGTTAATGGCAGGTCTAAACAGGATCTTATTTTTTTAAAGCTGTCAAACGTCGCAGGTTAAAGCATCTACGGGTTAGTGCCATCACCTGTTATGGGTTTGAGCAGGTTATAACACCTCAAAATTGTTACCTTCATGCTTCCCTGCTTTGTTCTCAGCAACTTCAGCTAATTCTGAAGGGTAACCAAGCCCTGAAACATAGTTCTAATTAGCATTATAATTATGTATGTGTGCTTATGACTCTTTACTGAGTTTCCCCTCTAACCTCCCTTCTTTTTATTTTGAATGGCACTCACCAGCCCCGTGACCATTGCTGTAACCATTCCCATAACCTGTTGAGAGAAGGGGATACATGTCAAAACATTTAAAAAGCCATATTTACTCCAGTCAGTGACGGCTTTGATGCAGATTCCCTCTGACACCAAACAGAATGAAGAAAGATCCTCAGCCATTGCAGGCAGACAATTCACGTTTCAAGGTTTAAAGTTTTGGCTTTTAAATTTAAATCATTCTACCTTCTGTAACTCGCACAGAATTGGAATTCCTCTGTGCAGGAGTTTCCACTCACCGTAGCCATTGCCTGCCATGGCACCCAGGTGCCCTGTTGCTCCCTCGCCATATCCTGTAATAACACACATTCAAAACATATTGCATGGGACAAAGACTCTGACTACTTCTGCAATTGTTTGCCGAAAGACATCAATATTTCACTTGGGACAAATATGAAACAGAAAGCTGCTACAAAAAAATATACATCGATGCTCTGACTTCCATGCATACAAAAGAAGAATAAAAGACATCCACAGGAGTTCAATTTGGAGATGACTGGACTGGTTTGTGAGTAATCCTTTGTTGTTGTTAGTGTCTTCTACCTTTTAAAAGCACTATCAATTATTCACCAGAAAGGAAAAGAAGATGCTGTGACCTTTTAAGAAAGGTGAAGAAGAACTCAAAGAGTTAAACAGTTATTTTCTTTCCAGGAAGACTCACAAGCAAATGGTTTACAAGGCAAAGTAGGAGTAGGAGGTTTCCTGCTGTGACACATGATCTTCTGTGTGTCCTCAGCTCCACCCACAGCCTGAACATTAAAATTCAGGTGGAGCAAATCCTGATTCTCTCACACAAGCTACATTTGCATACGGTCAGTAGGTTTGTGGAGGTTAGGAATGAAAAATCAGATTACAAACTGAGATTGAAAATGGGGACAGATGGTACAATTGTTCCACAGCCTCACCAGTTGATATCCCTGCGGCACCTTGGGGATACCCACCCTGTCCAAGACCAGCAGCAGCAGCAGCAGCAGCAGCAGCAGCTGAGATTTGTTTTAGAGAGGGAGTTAGGAGTAAGGAGATGGTGCAAAGGGAAAAAAATGAGAGTATAAAATTAAAATTCAATTAAAACATAGAAAAGTGTATGAACGTGTACGTCCTTACCTGCATGTTTGCCTGCTGCACCACCCAGGTATGCTCCCTGTCCCAAACCTGTAGGCAGTACATGGTAATCCTTTACCACAGGTGGTGTAAATCTACATCAACCATCTCTATCTGTTAGCAAGAATTGTTCTTGTATTGTGTCAGTACCCGACATTACCTGCTCCATAGCCCCCAGCGCCCAGGTTTGCTCCCAAATAGTTTCCTGCTCCACCAGTATAACCTGTGGAGGAAGTTAACATAAGCTCAGCAAACATATCTGTAACTTTCTGTGGGCTACAGGGACATGATCGCTGATTTTTCTAAATAAAACACTAGTGTCAACATTCATAGAAAGAAGAGTGTCGATCTCTCAGCACTATTAAGTCAAATCATATTTTAAACACCTGATAAAACTGGGACACAATATCCTGCTTCATTCAGTTGCTTCCATATACAGAAGATACAGACACAGGCTGACATGTGCAGCTGACAGTGGAACAAAGAAAAAAAAAAACACACACAGCAGACTTCAACATCTTTGCCAGGTTTGAGTGGTTTTTTTGCACCTTCTCCACTGGAAACTGACTCTCCTGGATTGGATCCTAAAAACCACAACACCAGATGTTGAACCTTCTTTCAGCATCTTTTTTTTTACGTCTACTGTAAGAGACATGAGCTTATTTCTCCTTGTTTTACGCACTGTTTTCTATGTCTCTTATGTCTCGTTCTTTCCATTGCATCTTCCTTATTAGCATTTTGTAACTTTGGTAACCTAAAACACACTACATATATCATAAGACACACAATAAGACACATATATTGTTGGAGTTATTAGGTTTCAGCTGCAGGATCACTTTCTAGAAACACAAAATTGATTAAATTCAAGGAACCCCAACACACTGTACCAGATTGTACCTGTAGATATAGTTAATCATGGACCAATCATCATAAAATAAATAGTGTGATGTGAAGACAAAGAGATTAACCAACACTGACTTTAAGAACTCTGATCTAAACCTCTTTATCCTGAGCTGTGATTAATAGATCATCACCTGAATCAATGCTATGAAGCAAATATGAGCCCTATTATGTGCATAAATACAACAAAACCCTCCACAAACAAAAGGACAACAGAAATGTGCCATTGTTTCTGGCACTGGGACTTGATTTTAGGGTAAAATAATAAAACGAAACATGGCATAGGAGATATAACAGTGCATTAGAGTATGTATTGTGAGATATAAATGTCTCTCAGAATCAGAGAGAGACACTACTTCTAGAACTCAAAGGTCTAGACAGCTAATTCAGTACAGTCACACACACCTATCCTGTTACTGAGAAGCATACAAATTTTACAACAGGGAAAAAATGCTCCTCCTCCTGCTTTGGCTTGTTTGGGAGCCGTGAGACTCAACTACACAATCTAAGATCAGTAACAGAGGCTGGAAAGAGTTCAGTATTTATTCTCAGTTGGTTTGTTACCACAGAGAGATTTCCCGAGAGAGGAAGCAGGTGTCTTCCATTGCTCTTAACAGCTGAGGACCCTGAAGCACCTGCACCACAACAGAGTCCAACAATATTCAGTAATAATCATCTATTTTATGCCTTAAATCAGGAAGATTTGTGCACTTTTTTTCAGGATGCTTATGTGTGGCAGATTATCCTTTTGATCATCTATTTCTATTCTTTTATGCCAAATAATAATAGTTAATACTAACACACAAGGACACTCAGGTGACACTTTACTATTGACTAACTCTCCATTCAGAGTTATATCCCCTAGATCATAGACGATACAGCAGAAAACCATCTCATGTGGTATCTCAGAAGCTCAGAAGAAGTCTCACAGTAATTAAGGCTTGATGATAGCTCCATCCATGCAAAAGGTAACATTTTACAAGGACACCGCTCAGCATGTTCAGGCTAATGGTTTTACTATTTTTAGAACCACTGGTCACACCAGCTGCTGGCCCATTATCTAGAGACTACAACGACTATCACAAAGCCGGATGAGTGCTGTTTATTATAATATCTTGAAACCCACAACAATAATTACTGGCTGTTATGTGTCACTGATCACAGCTTACAAACTCTTCAAAATACAGACAATCCATACATCAAGCTTCCAGCAGTATACTGAAGGTCAGGGCTCCAAATGACGCTGAATTCTGCTTTGTCCCGACTTAACAAACATTGTCCCAAATTGAAATTGAAAAACTTTAGTTTTTTTATGCTTTACTAGAAGATGTATGTTTTGTAAAATAGAGATGTCCTTTAATCCCAAGTGGGATGGGCCAGATCTTAAGCATGACACAGACCCAAAGCTAAATTAAACTCTAGACAAGGCCAAAAGGCCAAAAGGCCAAAAGAACAACAGCACCACAAACCAAAGAGACATGCAGACCTCAATAAACAAAAAGAGTATGACAAAACCACTGACAGGATGGCGTGGAAGCAGCTGTGCAATGCGGTATTGCTATCTGTTTATCAGATAAGTTACTCAGATACAGACTGCACAACTATCAAACAACTAGCACAAACAGGAGGATGATGGACTACAAGTAAGACACGTTTCTATATCGTTTGCATGCCTAGCTGCCATCCTGAGGAAGACTAATCTAAGAAGTCCAATAAAAAACAAGACCAACACTTCAGAAGAAATAGATTTGTAGAAACACTACTTTCCAAAAACAACAGGCACCTGAAAAATTGTGTTATTTACTATAGAACTGAGCTGGGGAAATACAGAAACAAATGAAAATGAAACTGTATTTGATTTGTGATAAAGCATTTGGATAACTGAAGAAAGTGTCGTAGAAAGTGGAATTTAGGAGAAAAATATAGCGTAAATCTCAAGAATGAGACAAAAAGACATTGTGATGGTGTAGAAAGACTTGCTCTTACTTGTTGCCTGGGTATTCCTCCCAGTCTGTCCTGGGATACTGAGAGATTTTGACTTTGTGACTTCACGTTCAGCATTGGAAAGGTGTTTTGCTTCCTGACCATCGTCAGTAAAGCCTTTAGCTTCCTGCCCTTCTACTGCGGTGCTGCCTAAACTTTGGGTTCCACTTGCTCCTGGGATTAGTGGTCTCCCCCCTCCTTGTACTTGAAGATTTACAGAACTGCGACTATGATTTTCTACAGAAACAGTCCCACGGATTCCAGGCCCATTTGCGTCTGTGGCCACAGGCCCAAGGTCTTTGACACCCTGCCCTTCTGCTACAGCAGAGAAATAGTTCCTGGTTCCCTGACTCAGTGGAAGAGAGAATATATTGCTTCTGGTATCCGGCGTTTGTGAGAGAGGCAGTCGATAGGTTCTCTCCTCTTGTGCTTGTGGAGCTGCTTGTCCAAGATATTTACTGTCCTTATCGTCGTGAAGCTGGGGCACTGAACTCTGCCTCCTCTGCGTTTCTGAACCCAAAAGCTCATGGCGATTGATTTCCAACAAACGTGACAAATCGCTATCACTGGATCCACAGTTTCGGGTTCGCTGATTTTGTTGGCTGGATGAATCATAGTGTCTTGCACTCTGTACCTGAGAAGAAGCAGAACCCAGACTTCTGATGTTGTCTTTATCAAGAGGCAGTTGCTGTGCAGTGGCAAGTGTGGCTCTGTGGCTTGCTACACCCCTTCTTTCTAAGATCATAGGCTCATAACTTTGTCCTTCTTGTGCTTGTGAAACAACCAGACCTTTAGTCTGTTTATCAAGGGGTGTCAGAGGTCCAAGACTTGAAGCCCTAACTACTGGATCAAGGCTTTTCACCTCTCTCCCAGGTGGCAGTAAAGATATAAAGCCAGTTTCTGCCTGTAATTCAGGAGCAGAGAGACCATGTACATTTGTTCTCCTCATGCTGGGTATTTCAGGTCCAAGAGTCCTGTCTCTTTTTCCATACGACGGACCCAGTGCTCTGCTCTTTTCTCTCTTCAGATCTTGAACAGCTTGGCCCAGATTGGCCATCTTAGGTCCACCCAAATCCGCTGTAGACACACCTGGCAGAGAAATATCATCATGCATTCACGAGTTCTTTCACGGTGTCACGGTTCTTTGTAGTGTCCAGTGGCACGAATATTGATGATGTGTGTATCAGAGCAGTCAATGCAATATAACACATCATCCATAGAGTAATCAATACTCAAATGGAGACAAGACAAAATCCATTATGGCCATAAATGTGTCCAGTTTCAAAGGACAGAATCGTCACCATAATTAGGAAGTGAGACAACAAAAAACAACACACAACTGAAGCCACACTTCAGGAAGAACACACGTAGTATTTCTCATTTAGTCAGTGACATCAACACTTAAAGCATGACATGACAACAAAATGTTGCCATCCCAAATTGTTGAAATGCCATAAAACACACCACAAGGCAAAGACACCATCTGACTCAAACAGCATCAGTGTGTGACAAAGACAGCTGATAAACGAAGCTTTAGTAAAACTGATGGCAGACATGAAAGCAGAAACCTACAGGCCACAGAAACTGTTTCAAAAGTGAAAAATATTTCCCAGTAGATTGAAATAATTCCACTTTTACAGTGCAGTTTCACTCTGAAACTAGATACATTTGCATGCAAACTATAACCCAGTTACTGCGAACAGCAACCACAGCTGAGACCGGAATAGATTTGAACTTGAAAGCCACCAAACCGGACGAAGTGTGTGTGAATAATCTGTTGTGCTGCCTAAATAGATTTTTAAAAAGTGATCCAAATTCTAGGTAAGACACTTTAAGAATTGACTACAAACTTAATGGAGCAAAATACAGCTTCCACCATTATCAGACTTTCACCTTCATGTTACTGTTATCGAGTTGTTAGGGTGTATTTAGTTGGTAATAAGAAGTATTGAACTCATGCAACATGCTACACGGATGAAACACTGATAGACAAACACAGTCAAACATCGACATGTGAATCCTCCTTGTGCACGCAAAATAAAAACAGAGGAGCAGATAAGAATATTACAGTAGATAGTTGTGATTTCATGCAAACAGAAGCTGGCATGAACTCCACATCAGTAAGGTTACAAGACAAACCCGGACACAGAAACAAAGATAGACACAGACGAACAAACACGAAGACCACAGGTTGCTGTGGTGAAGGTTTCGTTTACCGGGTTTTTGTTCCTTAGCCCTCTGTCCAGTGTGATAGCCAAGTCCCATTCCTAATGATGGCAGATAGGGGAACTATCATTGATTTCACTCAACATGCTAACTGGCAGACACACTCAGGAACCAACACTCATTGTTTGCAAAGACGAGCAGCTCTGTGCCACTGGAGGTGATGATAGAATAAAAGGCTCTTAGTTCAGTGGAACAGGACAAATTGTTTTATTAAAGAAAGATATTGGACCCAGCTACCTTGGATTTCTTTCTTTGTGCAATCCGTTAAATCTGCTTTTGTCCATAACTGACAGCAGCAAGTGTGTGTTTGTGGCAAGAGTGAGGAGACAGGGGAAAACACCCTCCAGCATACAAATCTGAGCTAAATGGAAGAACTAATGGGGTTCTGAGGAAAGACCTGATTCATCACTTACCCGGTCGGGCTCCAGGATAGCCAATGCCAGCTACAGCTCCATATCCTGGCAAGAAAACAAAAAGCCAAGTTCAGAGGACGAGGAGCAAATCTGTAAATCCGCCAAGCACTCTGGTTACATCACTAGTGCCCTGGGTTTTTCTCTGTTTTACAAGGACGCAATTTATTTGCTGAGATGCAATCGGCCCCCATATATCATGTTTAGGGACAATGACAGAGTGCTACTTAGCTGAGACTTTTTTATAACAATCAGGCAGAGGGCTTACAGAGAGTGTAATTCACCGTGTATACTCTCATTTGGGCAAACAACAAAAAGAAATCATGGAACAAACCATACAATTACTTACCTGGCAGAGTCCCATGGCCAGCACCATAAACTGGAAAGTCACAAAAACACAGAGAATGTTAGAGAAAGTTTTTCTCTCACATTCACAACAGGAAGTGCTGCTTAAAGAAGAATTCAACTTTGTTGCATAAGTTTTATGTCTCTTACTTAATGCACCTTTCATATTATGACAGTTAGCCTTATGAGCAGTCACACTGGGTTGCCTAAAGCCTCAGAACATATTTCTCTAAAAGGTTAAGGTTCATTATTAAATTAGCAGCAGTCAAAGCTTTGGGAAGACATACTTAGTTATTATCTATTAAGAGTTTATCGGTCAAACACTCGTCAGGACTGTTTGTGTGGGGTTTGAGGAGATATGGGTGGCCACATACGCAAAAAGAAACTACAACTGTCATCTGATTTAGACTCAAATGTTCCTAAGACATGCATGACTTCACTTTTTCCCACCAAATACAGAGATGCAAAAAAATCTCTCATGTTAAATGGCCAAAACGGTTATAACTTGCAAATAGTATAATAAAAGTGTGTTAATGTACAACCATATTGCATATAGTAATAGGTTTTTGAGGGCCTTAAATATCATATCCCCACAATCATTACAGCTGGCAGCTTTTAGCGATTAGTTAGGTTTTTACCTGCAAGTTAAATCTTTTCTTAAAGCTTACAGTGTGTTCTATAAATGTGTTATAAGATCTATACATTTATCCAATAGGATTGGTTGCTGTTAATGGTTACGTATGGCTGTCTATATGCATGTTTTATTCATGCACATGCATGATTAAACAGTTTAACTGCTTGTGATATTTAAGTTTTTCTTTTAAGGATCCAACAGCCATCTACACATACTGGGGTTAAAGTTATTCATTCATTATCAATATCTATTTAAAATATTAATGGTTTATTACATATTCCTCCTTCTATATGTCAGTCTTACCACGTTTTCCTCCCTGACCCAGATTCAGTCCCAGTCCGTTTGTATATCCAGTGCCCAAACCCATTCCTGTGCCCAGACTGGCGCCTGCAATAAATAGAAATTGTAATATTTTAATATACAGGCTTTATTGTATCCATGTTATAGAGCAAGGTGGCTGTGAATGTTTTATTAGTGCTTATATTGATGTACCATATGCTCCCTGGGTTCCATATCCGCCTGGCTTCAGGCCGGCTCTACCTCCCAATCCAAGAGCTCTGTAACCTCCTGTGAAAACACAGACAAACACATTTCACAGTGTTGCTGAACAGCAAAGTATCATCTTTCAGCTTTTGGTTACACAGATTTTCTGCATCAGGAGAGGAAAACTCTCGCTCTATGAGCTTTAATGAAAAAAAATAATCCTTTTTGTATCGGCATATTGATTAAATGTCCTCCTTTGCTGCTTTTGCTGTCTTCTGTGTGCTCTTTAAAACTGATTTTTTGCTACTTCATAGTTATGTGTGTAACTCAATAAGCCTCTTAAGAACTGACTGTGTATACATGTTTACTAATGCTGCAACCTGAATTATATAAAGATTTACTCTTAAGACAACTTACCAACGCCTGGATAACGTCCAACTAAGATTTTTTTTAAAAGAGGAAAAAAATACAAACATTATTTGTAGTAAAAGTAATATACAACAATACTGTGTGCAGAAGTTAAACATAAAGTTAAACATACTTCCAGTCTTCATTGCTTTGCTGCCGTATCGGCTCCCCAGTGCTCCAAGGGCACCTGCAGCTGTGAACAAAGGAGAAAAGAAAGCAGCTGATAATTTTATTAAATCATTTAATGTCCATCAGCTGTATATTATTCCTAAACTGGAGCCAGAGATACATATTCCCCATTATAATAAATAGACAACGTATGTCATATGCCCATCTAAAGAGATAACTAACATTTAGTTTGACCCCACAGGACATATTCTAAAAAATGTCTGATAAATAACTAATCTCACATCTGTAAAAGCTACAACTTCCAGGTACATCTACAGTACATACCTGTATGTATGTGACGGATTGATACACATGTTAACACATACCAATCAACGTTACATGTACTTTTTACTAAAAGCTCTCACAAACCTCAGTCATTGATGGTGTTAATCTTCATTTTATTAATTACACATACTTGTATTTTTAGTCGACCTTTAGTTTAATGGTCATTGCATCCTAAGAAAACCACTGACCTCCAGGTTTTACTCCAATACCAACACCTGACAAAAAAAAAAAGCAGACACAAAAAAGGAGAGGCACTTAAGAGCAAAATTCACATCTAAGGCAAATGTTTGTTTTCTTATTGATGTTAATAAAGCTGGTCTGAAGTTACAAGCTGAGTGATTCAAAAACAGACCTTTAAAGTTAGCAGACAGCAGCTGGATGACCTTCAAAAGTCTTTGTTACATGGTTGTGAAAGTAATTAAAACACAAGTTAAAAACATAAATAAAAACTTTGTGACATACCTCTGGCTGGCAGCACTCTCCCCCAGGACATAGTTTGAGGTTTAACCCCTGAATAAAATGGAATAACATTTTACATTGATGGCAATGTATTCTTTAAATCTGTCAAAAGGACCAAGATTGTTATGTGAAATTAATCCAAACAGCTCATGCAGTACACAATAGATATCCACTGTATGAAAATGATGACAATAAACCAAATAATGAAGCATGCATGATGCATAAAAGATGTGTAAATGTGTAAATTGGACATTTCTGTAAGTCTTTTAGATTGTTTGGCTTGAAAAAGCAGTTTGGAGTCATATTACTGTGATTTTATTTTTTATTTTTGGTAAAGATTCATGTTTGTTAATGGTTTTCTACATAACTGAAGTATGGAATGGAGTTGTACTAGCTGGATGTCAGACAAGGTCTTGTAACTGGCAGGAGTGTCAGTAAGGTGTCCCCAGTAAAAGGTGAGTGCTTTGAGAGACATATAGGTGACTATATGAATTACTTTAAGTATTACAAATGCCACCATAGTGTCTGATGAACACTGGGCAGCAGCAGGAGACAGGAACAGATATCCATTGATGAAAACAGAGGAGGAGACGAGGTGGAGCGACTGTGTGGAGCCTGTTAGTTCATCTCACGATTGGTCGTCAAATTTTACCTGCCACTGCCACCTTTTCATCGCATCCTTTGACTCAAAGAAATTAGATAATATAAACCGCAGTGACTTGGCGGGATCACTGATGGTGGAGCCCACAGAGTCCAGTAGTTTTTTTTTTCTCCACTCAGTCTCACAGACATGATATTTAACAAGTAAGTGAGACAGTGAGTCACTGGAGATGCTGATTCATCAGAGCTTTCAAGGTGAAATCATACTGCCTTTGACATATATACTGTAAGCTCTTTGATAAAGAGAATTTAACACACAATGTAAAAAAAAAACAGCCATAATTTACAAATAATACAAGTAAATACAAGTTGGGCAAAGAAAGTTTACCGAACATTATTTATTTACATTATTTTTGATGAGGTAAAAATTCTTGTTATTTTTGTTTAATTTCACTCATTTGCAGCAATATCATCTTTCTTAACCTGCTAAATTAAAGATTATTACCCACAGCTGAATATTATCCACGCTGAATCTAAAAACTCTTTCAATCAAATCAGATGAATCTGATCATTTTGAGACACTATAAATAATGCTTTTATAATTAGCATGAGATGCCAGCAGAGTAAAAAAAACAGGAATTAGATGATCCAAAATGATCTTAATCAATAAAATCTGATAGGATAATAATAATTAAAAGTTTGACTTTACACAATAACAACAAAGTGTCTTTATCGAATCTGATGTGTTTCTTACCGCCTTGCAGAGTTTGCTGAGCCAACCAGAGAACCAGTGAGGTCTGGAGCAGAGCTGGAGCCAACATGATGGAGGAGACCGGGTACAAAAAAACTGAGCAAAACTGACAGAGAGCAACTGATGGACGGACACTTAGAGCACGATTGCCCCTGATGTCTTATATATGGTATTCTCTTTGATACACTCCCACTGCCCAGTCCTGCCCTCTACACACAGACACACACACACACACACACACACACACACACACACACACACACTCTGACTGGGCAAAGCCAAAGGCTAATTTTGGTCCATTTCCATCAGCTGAGAATGTCACACACACACACACACACACACACACACTGGATTTTGTATTTTCTCCAGCATCTGAAAATTCACACTGTCTCTTTACAATCTCTGTGCCACCAAGGAAAGTAAGAAAAAAAAGGTTAGATTGCATTTGAGCTGATGGTTCACAATTTTCTGAATGTCAGAAATGTGCTACGCGTCTATCTCCGACTGTTTTAGTCAAAGCTGTTGCCATATTAACAAGTGTAGGGAAGAAAACAGAGGACAAAAAAGAAAAACATCAAAGCAACAGGGCTCAAAAATCCCTTCAGAGGACCAAGAGCCAGAAAGGAAATTCATCTCTGTGAAGACGGTGCTGAAGCCCAAACACCCAGTGTGTCTGTCTGACTTTTGTGCCATTGTTAACAGAGGGACACACAAAGGGGTCAAGGGTTGTCACAAGTAATACTCAAGATTATTTTTGGAGGGATTTTATTGCCTTTACTAGATGGGAGCAACTGAAGAGAGACATGAAAGTAGGGAGAAAGAAGGGGGAGGGTGGTGACACGCAGAAAAGGGCCACAGATTGGAATCAAACCCAGGCCGCTGCAGTAATGACTCAGCCTCTGTAGTGGAGCACAAGCTTTACCAGATGAGCTAACAGGGCACTCCCAAAACAAGTAATATTTGTGGTGGCAATTCTAAGGAAACGTAAAGGATAAAACTATTATTACTGCACATAATAATAATAATATAAGACTCACACACATATCATACAAACAGACATGTCCTCGCCCCATAAATAAATACACTTGTGCAGATTAATATGAAGACAGAAATTTTTTTTATTATGATTATTTTGTAGAGGAAAATTAGGTTTTGACAGATGGGTTGAACTCACAAACAAAACTCAGCTGCGTCAAAGACCGAGAACAACAGACCTGTTTGTCTTGGGTTTTTGTTAATAGAGCAAACATTACACCTTCTAAAACAAGACGGGGGAAATAATGAGAGCGAGCACACAGAATCTGTTTAAGTAGCGTAAATATCCTGTTGAAAAAAAGCACTCTGGAAATTGCAAAGTAAACATTATTTCCTTTTTGTGTTTACGTGTGTGTTGGAGGGGAGGTGTGCGTGTGTTCTGCTGTAGAAATAGCCCTCCAGGGTGCCACCTCAATTAAACCGTAATTTTCAAGGAGTTTCCACGGCTTTCTACAGAAAAGCATTGTGATCTCAAACTTAAAACAGGTTGTCAGCTGTCGTTCCTGTTGAGACTGTGTACAAGAAGCATTAGCCCGCGGTGGTATCAACACCAAGCTCCAGGATCATCCTCATATCCTATAGTGTGGGAGGTCCCCATTCATAGCAGCCCTTTCTTAATGTAATGTTTAAATTTATGACCTCAGGCACGGCAGTGCTCAATGCAAACGTCTGCCTGGACAACCGCATATGACGGTTCTGCTTTGAAAGAAGCCCGTTGTTTTTTTTTATGCCACCTGAGGAAAACTGAAGTCACATGTGCAGACCACCACATCGTCTTCCCTGGTGGTACCGAGCGTAAGACAATAACATAACCCACGTCTGACTCATGACTCCTTCACCCGTGATTCACCTCCAAACATTTATCCGTCTGCATGTTTTGAGGGATCCCTATTAAAAAAAGAAACAACAACAACCAGATCCATAAGGAGAGTGTCGATTTCTCAAGATGAGATGTCAAAGCTTTGAAAAGAGGAGCTGATTGTTGCCCCGGGGGGTGAGGCAGAGGTAGACTGTGTTGGCTTGTTTACCCAGAGAAGGGAGTGTCTGTGGAGACACATCTGGATGGTAGTTTCACTGTGGTCTGTCATATTAGAAACACTGTGTGCCCCCAATATTACATATTTGTGTGTGTGTGTGTGTGTGTGTGTGTGTGTGTGTGTGTGTGTGTGTGTGTGTGTGCTGTCCTTATGTGTCCTTTAAAGCCCCTAGAAGGAACTTTCACTTTGTGTTGATTCTGGCGGCCCCTGCGGACAAAGCAGCGGTTGTGCTTCCACCGCCTCGTTTCATTGATTTCAAGGGGAATCCGACTGAATCCAACCCAGTGGCAGGCATTGATAACCATCACCAAACATAACAAGTAACTTATAAAGCAGACAACTTAATTCCTGTATACCTGCTCATACCACAGTGGAAGCTGTCTGCTATCCACCCTAATATTCACCCCTTTTCCTTGGCAGGGTCATGGGGGCTAGAACCAATCCTGTGTTGGGGAAGTTCATTCTTGAAAAAAAAGTTAGCGGAGGGAACCTATGTGCAGAACATGCAAATGACATTGTGCAACCACAAACCCCAGCCAGCCCGGAAGTTGGAAACCATGACCTATTTGCTGCGTGGCATCAGTGCTAACCACTGCACTACCGTTGCGTCTACATTCATGTTTTGGTGTAATCTTTAATTTTCTAAATTCATTCTTGACTATTATAAAAATTGGTGTAACTACAAAATCCAATCAAAGACAAAGTGCAGTTACTTCCCTCTCTCTCGGTTTCTCAGAGCTTCAGCTGCCGTTAACTGCGGCTTCAGTGTCTGTAAATCCTGTTTTCTAGACAATTTCAGGACAATGTAGGAACTTAAACGAAGGGAATCTTCATGTTCTCCACTGGAAGTAGACAGGAGATGGTATTACTGTGCAAGTGCCAACTAGCTAGACAGGACAAGGTATCACTAAGCTAATAAACACAGTAAATGTGTCATAGGTTTAACCTCACAAAATAATGCTTAAATTCTTAATTACTCATCTATTTCAAATTTATAGGACAAAAAATTGGTCATCATTTTTAAGCCCTGAAAATTACTCAGAGAATACATATCTATTGAGCAGCACCATTTGTTGGTTTTGCCTTAAACACTTTAATGATCTTTGTGGTGTCCCTTGTTTTGTACGTACTGTCAGCAGGTTTATGACATTATCTTTGTCAGGGGGTATAGCTCAGTGGTAGAGCATTTGACTGCAGATCAAGAGGTCCCTGGTTCAAATCCAGGTGCCCCCTATGTCTGCCTTGGACACATTGTTTGACCATTAGAAAAAGCAAAATAAACAGTATTTCTTGATACCACATAATGATGTATGGAGGATGACACATTGAGTATAAAATACAAAAAATTACCTCAGTCTAAAGTTACATGACTCTAATGTTAGTAAACTGTGGCTCAGAGGAGATACAGGTAAAGATGCATTTAAAGTTCCTGGCACCATCATTATAAAAGGGAAACGCCAATAATTGATTGATCAGTCTCATAGAACACACAAGAATATGATTTAAGAAATTGGATTAATAATAAAGTTATAATAAAAACTATGAATAGTTAAAGGGTTCTACATAAAATACATTTTGCTGGCCAGTTTGAGGCCATTTTGCTCAGTTTCACTGCTGCGCTCAGGCTTGTTAGGGCAGTACAGACCTACTCTTTTCAAATATTTTACACACGTCTGCTAATATAGATTCCAATCAAGGTAAATTGGTTTATGCAAAGCAGTGGATCATGCTTTTAGACATCAAGGAAGGTGAGCTATGATTCTAAGATTTGGGGTTACTTTCCATTTCCAATGTGCACTTCTGTATATTCTAAAATGTTAGCATGGAGCCAAGCTGATTTTTGTTTCTGTTGTGAATATTTGCTACACTTAAAAGGCCACTGAGGTGCTGCTGTTCTGTAAGATTTACAGTATATATGACACCAGCTTCCTATAAATTACCCAGTGTGTCTGATTTATTATACATCGCACCTGAGGGATATTTCATAAAACCTACACACCACATTAAGCTGGGATTTGGCTGAATTTAGTCACGTCTCAGTTTCATGAAAGCTGAAAGTTACCCTGGCGTGATTTATCCTGGTGCCTTACCTACATTTATGTCCTGTTCCTATGCATGTATTTGCCTTAATTTTTATTAGCCTGAATGTAATGTTTTATTGCGGCAATCCTATTCTCTTTTTTTACATAATACATGTTTTACCTAAGCATCCATTATGTAAAGCATCACTAAGTCTGTGACCGAGCTCCTGATCTGTTGAAGAAAGCCGCAAACGTGCATTTTTCCAAATAACTTAGAGCTGGCTTCACCTAATCTCACCTCCTCCGCCTGGCTTGCCTCAGTTGCTGTTGCAGTATAGTTTATTGTTTCCTTCTCACTTAAAAAATAAACCCAAATGTGCCACAAAAAGTACGAAGCCAATAACATGAGCGTAAACACACAGCAGGAGCGCGGTCAAAACCAGTGTGCCTCGGTAACGAAGCAGCAACACCTCAGTTACAATACAAAACGCTCCACTTGGTGGTCGAAGGTATAAATAATAATCACAAATACACGATACAACTTACAATGGTCTGTAACGGACTGTTTCATTAGGAGGTTGGACGTCTTTATATTGTTGAATGAAAAGCTTTTCTCTGGTAAAATAAACATCTGCACTTTCACTCTTGAGAAAAGAACTCCAAAACAACTAGCATCTCAAATTTTTCCGGCAAGTTTTTCTTTCTTAGGCTCAGACTGGAACAGTAGTGTTTACTAGTGGTTTTATGCTCGCCTTCTTCCAGCTTGCAAGACACTGTGGGCCACCTCCAGGGGGCTTAATATTAGCGTTGGGCTCCGTGGTGCGTGTACACATTAGGGGAAGAACACAAAGACCTACAGAGCGATGGTGCTGGCACACTCTTCATGCAGCTGAATCTGCATCTGGCTGAGCAGTTAGGCCAGAGGGAGTTTGGAGCTCATGTTAAATGGCTTTGTTATGTGTTTGTAACACTTTTTTTTGGAAGACAAGGAAGTTTGATGGCATGGCTGTGAAGAAGCCCGGGAGTGTTAGTAGCCATGTGAATTTAACAGGTGCG